CGTTCCAACAATAAGATACGGAATATGTACACGCGTATGCTTGTATGATTTCCGTTAGATATGTTAACGTTTCTCGTATATCAGCGCGATAACGCGATTGCGAAATACGAAGCGTGCGCGATCGTGCCTTTAGAATGAGAGGCAAAATCGAATTAGGCTTCCGGCATAAATCGACGCGTGGCGCGGGCGATTTTTCTTTTTTTTTTTTTTTTGCGTTGCAGAAATTCGCGCGCAGGCAATTATAAAAGGGCGATAAATAATATGCTAATTAGCCGGCGCGCTATACACGGCGATAAACACAGGGTCGCGCGGATCCTTGCAGCGTGTGGCTCTCGAACGCGAACCGTGAATCACGAATCGTTGGGGCCGCGAGCGCGTGTACTACAAGGAGGAACTAACATCCGATCGAAGATTACGGGGACTAACTAACGATTCCATTTGCTGATTGCCCGGTCACTACGGCTACTCCGGCTCCGCTTTTATCGGCTCGCCTCCCACGAGAGAGGAGGCCTTAACGCGCGCCACGTACACCCGATAAGCGTTCCAAGGTTGCACGCGTGCGCTGGCCGTGCGCGCGCGCCCGCGCGCGCGAAACCTGCGGCGCGATCAATTAAGATCGATCGATACTTTAATATTCCGTCCAGTGCGTGAAACTATCCCCGATATCGCATTTAGGCCCTTAGTCGGCATTGCAAATGGTTATCATTAGCGTTAGATATTTATCGCTATACTATTTATCACTGAGGTGGACGATCCTTGGCCGAGTACAGAAGCACAAATGCAGGATACACGAGGTCCCGGAGTGAGGATCTTGTATTTCAGATATTTCTCCTCAATTTTACATTAATTAATGGTAATAATATATTAATTTATATAAGTACAAATAGTATATAAGTATTTGTTAGACGTATCTGCTTCCAATTAAAGGTTTCTTTTAATTGATATTACTTGCGCTATAACGGTATTTATTACGTTGTTTGTGACGGAGTTTACTCTACTCTTATTGTGAGAAATATACTAAAATTAATTCGATATCACGAAACAATCATTCTCCGTATACAGAATCGACGTAAAAACTACATTAACGATTATCGTGGAAACTCGCGACTTAAAGTATAATTACTGTCCAGAGCAGATAACCGACGAGAGATTCGTGGAAGTTTTCGTACTACTCTAGATAAGCAGAAGTGGATCACACATAGATCGTGACGTGAGATTGTCCGCGGAAGGCGCACGTAAGATTAATTTTCTCATATCTCCGGCATCGTAGGCTTGACTCGCAGAAATTGCAGCGTGCGCAGAAACGTTTCTTCTTTTCGTCCGACTATCGCGATGCTCCGACTATTTTTGTACGAATAAAAAAAGCACTCCGAATAGCACACCGAATTCACCGAACAACTTGAGAATCCAATTAATTATATAATACACAGCTTATCAAATAAAATTGAAAAACTTTAACTTTATAAGTAAATCCCTTTTCCCCGTTTTGTTAATTACCTTGTGGTTTAATTTATCTTATTCCAAAATTTCACTGATTTCTTTTTAATTGTTTTAGTGCGACACATGGTTAAACATAGTAGCGCATTTAGGATTCGATTGGTGTTTAAGGTATTTCTTCTCAATTTTCCATTAATTAATTTTTTTAATTATAAATGGTATAAGTATTTGTATCATTTTCTAAAAAATTTCCTTCTTTTAAAAAGCAATAATCTAAGGTTAAAAGAGCTAAAACGAGCGAAATGGATGAAAGTGAAAAAATAATTAGAACTTATTTATTAATATAATCAATATTATAGTATTTTTACTTGCGACACTTTCGACTTACAATGTCATCTTCAGCCAATAAAATTAGATTAGAATTAGCATAATGGATGAATAACCAAATAAATAAGTAATGAAACATAAAAATTCGATTCAACGGTGGAAGATTGAGAGAAAAGAAAGGAGACATAATAGGGACCGCACAAAAGCATTTTACGTCAATACAAATTTCTTCTTTCATTTAACGTTACTACCTAATATCGATATTATATACACATTATATTTATTACGTTTCTTCTCTCAGAACGTTTGTGGTAGAATCTCATTGATTGGATCAATTTCTCGGTTCGCTCAGATCCAGTCACTTCGCGGATGACGCAAGTTTACGCGCGGGATCCATGTCGGGTGAACGCACGCGGAAATGCAATCTCGGGCGTAAACATCTCGCGTGACGCGAACAATCGAGGTACCCGTGGCCTGGTGTGTACACACATCGGCCGAGTGTCTCGGAAATCATTATCCGAGACGCTTTATCGGGCGCGGGCCATCCGCGCGCGCGGACGCCGAGGTAACGTATGTGCGGCTTTTATCGGCGCGAATGCCTACGTGCGCTGGACGTTTCTATTATCGCGAGTGTGAATCGTCGTTGCCCTTCCCACCTTCGTCCGTACGTCGCGATTCACGACCTCCGCCATCGCGATCGCGACGACGGGCGGCAGGCCTCGCGCGCGGACGAAAACCGATTTTCCATCTCCCGAGATCCATCTGCCGATATATGCGCAATGAGTTCCCCATCTCGTGAGTTTAATGAATACGCGACTCGAATTTCGAATTCACGGGGAACGAAAACGGATTTAGAAACGATCACTTCGAATAAGGTCGTCGGATCTTCCCGACGACGAGAGAACCGAAAATCCTCCCTGTTCCGCTTACATCCCGCCCGTGACATCCCGATACCGTGATCTCCAACAACGCCGCGGCTATATTTCTTTAATCTAATACATGTATGTTTTACGGTCGCGCATTTCCCGTGCTCGAGATAATGCTCCTCGATACGCTCCTCTGAAACTCTCTGATCCAGATATCGGTTCGTTTCCTCCAGGACGGGACAATATAATATCCTATGGGACAAAGTACCCGCGGGTTTATGGCAATTCCATTTCTGTGCATCGTGTACTGCGCTACATTTATCTCCTCCGCGGCTCTCTCTCCGGTCCCGATAGAAATATTGGAACCGCGGGTGATTTACGGCGACCATTATTATTTCGCATTTACCGCACACTCCCGCGCTCTATGCCTGCGGATACCACGCGGGGCTATGTCCGAGGGCGCGAGCGCGCGACGAAGAAAAAAAAAATACCCCCCGAGAATTTATATACGGCGTTTTATTAAGGCTAATACGTATAGAGCGCGGCACCGGGGTTCGACAATAAAGGAATATTACTAGGTACTACGCGCCGGTAATGCGTCCGATCCGGCATAATCTACGGAGCGTTTCAACGGCCTTCTCGCGAGCCATCCGTTATGCGCGCCCACGCACGCACGCACGCACGTACGCACGCACGAACGCATGGCACGTACCTATACGTGCGTATATACCTATGCGATACTCGCGAAAATAACTCGCGTGAGTTGCGTCGAGAAAACGGGTTCATCTGAGATTCGTAACGAGAGCGCCGATCTTTTACGCGCGCGACATTATGCCGAGATTTCGCCGGCGGATGTCCTCCCCCCTCCTCTTCCCGATCAGATTCCAATCTCGAATTGCCTCCCGTCTCTTGAGTCCCCCTCGCCCTGGACGCTCGTTTATCTGCTCGTTGACCTAATCCGCGGACGTCGTTTCGCGCATGGTCATGTATATACATTTACGACGTCGTGAATGCCTCCGTTTTCCCTCGAATGTGAAAACAGGGATTTTAGGGACGGACGCTTCACGTCCAAATGTCCATTCGTCACGATATGGATTTTGTATAAATAATAAAAATTATTGTAAAAATTCTTACAGCAACGTTACGAATTTTTATTTTCCGACACTTTGAATTACTATATGATATATGTCTATATAAGTATGTCTATCCGTGCATTGCGATATATGTCAATATATCAAAGAGTGAGTGAAGAATTATGATAGAAATTGCAAAGTTATGAATTTCTATTTTTCTATAATAATTATACATATGTAATAATAATAATAATAATTCAATAATTATTTTTATTTATTATACATATATATATAAATAAAAATATTAATATAGCAAAGAATGGATAAAGTATAAATTACGATATAAATTCCTGTGAAAGTTATACGAATTTCTATCTCACGACACTGATTTAAAAATCCGTGAAGCAGGTAGGCTCGTTTAGAATGAATCGATATTCGCATTTCACATCTCTATAAAACGTTCTCCTTGTTCTTACATCTCGCTCGTAAAACTCGACCCAACGTACCCGAAGCACTCAGTACCACCTGCGGAAAATAATCCTGTCAGACGCCTCTCTCTCTCTCTCTCTCTCTCTCTCTCTCTCTGTCTGGGTGTCGCGAATGCGCGATTCGGAAAAATCTTCGCGTCATAAGAACGCGGGTAAGTGCACGAGGACACCGCTGCATAGCTTCGTTCGCACATATTCGAGATTCCCCCGTTAATCTCGTCGTTACTCGACGGGACACGTGATATCCGTGCATGAAAGTTTTAACGCCGTAATATATTCGCGACGGTATAAGAATCAGACGAAGTCAAGGTCGCGATTTCAGTTCCATATCGGGTGTTAGAACGACGACGACAAATTGCCTGGCGCGCGATCGGTCGGTCATAAAAAAATACCCCCCCCCCCCTATCCACCCTCCTATCCGTCCTTCCTCGTCCTTCGAGAATGATGTAAATTTCGCGTACGCGCGCTCGAAAGGAACGAATCGGACTCGACGTGGCTAATTAAAGACGCGATTCGGATTCGCGGTGATAACTTCTTCTCGTGATCAAATGCGCGGGCGATTATTTCTTTCGAGGCCGAAGAAATCTGCTCGCGATTCTCGCGCGACAGCCCGACAGGTCAATTTAAATTCTCGCCCGGATTGACATTATCGGACATTATATGTCGTAATGCGTTACATTAATTATGTCACCGAGCGACGGAGATTCGACCATGCTTAAAATTAATGTCTTCGTATGAGAAAGGTGATAGTACTGAGAATTTATACACGCGCGCGCTAGAAGAGAAAGGTAGTAATTTATACACACGAGATTGACAATGTGTTTTTAATGTATGAATTCGTACGAGGATCGTATAATCGTACAATAATTTAATACAAGTTCGTAAGATGTTATCGTTACAGGAATAAATGAATGCAAGGCGAGGACGAATAATAATGATGTCAACCGAGCGAGCTACCGCGAGCAAGCTTGTCATAAATTCATGAAACTCTCGCTGAAGATACTGCTTTATTCTAATTATTTGAACACGATGTGCAAATGACTTATCCGCGCATTTTATTTTGACGCTTTAAAGCTTCATAAATATTTTTTATAATTAGTTTTGTCATTACGACATATAATTATGTGACATTAATTTTAACCGCTCTTGCTAAGAGATGGGAAAATTATAGTGTACAAATTATAAAGATTGATTTAAATAGATATCTATATGAAATATTCATAAACTTTAATCTATGTCGCAAAGAGCTAAACTAAAAAAAAATGATATTGTCTATCAGGATCAATTAAGATATCGATCAAACATAATCTTGATACGTAAAAATGAATTTTGAAAAATGATTAATGAGAATAAATATGAATGCGCGAAGAGAAAATTCTTGCGATATCAGCTAGCGAGCGAAACGACCGAATCCTTATTTTGCCTTATTCGAGCTTCTCGCTCGAGTGTATTTGATGACGATATTGAGAAGAATAAGCAATGGGCGCCAATATCGGCCAGGTGGTGAACGGTTGAGCAAAGGAAGACGCCAAATACACGGTCGGCTCGCTCGCGAACGGCACGGCTACTTCGAGTTTGTTATTGCGATGGATCTGGATTCTGCTCTGGCTGGAAACGGCAGTGACAGCCGGAAGTATCCCCTTAGTGACGACCGGTACTGCCTGCTTGGCGACGACCGGAACTATCTCCTTGGCGAGGACCGGCACTGCCTCCTTGACGACGACCGGAACTGCCTCCTTGGCGACGACCGGAACTGACTCCTTGACGACAACCGCCTCCTTGGAAACGACTGGAACCGCGCGTACAGCGGTGGCGATCGGCGTCTCAACGATCGCCAGCTGCGCCGCGTCGATCTTCACGGCGTCCTTACGATTCGGGCCTTCCAATCCGAGATTTCTGTGAAACTGGATCCGATTTTCGTTGTAATCGGGAAGAGCGGAGACGATCGAAAGCGGCTCCAGCTTGACGGCGGCCGCCTCCGGGATCTGCGACTGGACCGCGATCGTTTCCGCGTTGACGAGCTTTTCCGGCACCTCGACGACGCGACGACTGTTGTGCACCTGGACGCGACTCTGATGAGAGGTCGCCAGAGGTATCTGACTGGGTAGGATCACCGTCTCATAGGCAGGTTCCGACAGGACGCTGATCGTCTTGACGGGTTGAACGGCCTTCAAACGAATGTTATTGTGAACATCGACGCGGCTCTGATGAGAAGTCGCCGCGCCGGTCAGTCTCGGGATCAGAACCGAGTCTAGCTGCAGGCCGTATACAGGCGCGACGATGGCCTCCGCGGCGCTGCGATTGGCCCGACCCTTGCTGGATTTTTCCTCCTGCGCCGCAAGCTCGTGGGAACTCTTCGGCGAGGCGATCGCCGCCGCCGCCGCGTCCCGATCGGCCTGATCTCCCTGGGAGCTCGGATTTTCTATCTGATGACGATCTCGATCGGCCGGTGCAGCCTCGAGGCTGCGCTTCCTGCGGCTCGCCGCAGCGTGTCCCTCCTCCACCCCGACGACGACGGCCCTCGCGTGCTCCTGCGAGTGGGCGTGCTTGGCTAACAGGACCTCGGGAGCTCCGGCCTCGAGGAGCGGCACATTGCCGTCCGTAGGCAGATTCGTCGCGGCGACGCGGAAGCCGCCCTCGTCCGCGACGTAGAAGACGGATTGCAGGATACCGTGCGCGTCCACGTAGCTGTAGGAGCCGCGCGTGACCCCGTCGAGACCCCGGACTTCCTCCTTGGCGGACGGGCCGCCGGCGTAGCTGTACGCGTGCACCCCGGCGCGCGTGTCCTGCGACTGATGGTACACCGGAAGCGGATCCGCCAGATAGGCGTAGGGCAGCAGGGTCAGCTGCGCGCCCGCCGCCGCCGCCGCCGCCGCCGCCGCCGCGCCGAGAATCGCGAAAACTGGAATCTGCGGGATTCAATGTACAAGGCTCTCTCACCTCGGGGTATATTATATACGGAAGCGCGGGCGCGCGAGCGCCCATGGATAGATCCTCGTGACGCGTGCGTGTATAGGCCAACGCGACTAAGCCATTTTTCGAAAGCCTGTCTCCCACACGGTATCTCGATCGAGAGATTTACGTTCTTACCGGTTCGGCATTGCGAGAGTGCAGCCTCTATATATATACCTTCTCTATCTTACCGCGCGGATCATGCCCAGGCTAAAATTGCAGAGCGATAATTGTACGTGTTCTATATCGACGCGCTTATTGCGCGCGCCCGCGCTCACGTCTGATAGAACCCCCGACGATCGTCCCGGGGATTAAAGAACGACATCGGCGCAATTCCGCGAACGATGTATCCCGTTACTCCGATATCGCAGATCCGCCTGAGGGGAGGGATAGATACAGCGGTACACGCAAGTATACAATGCATTATACCGCGCGCGTTCGTTATATACACGTTCCGCGGTAACACAGAAAATTCGGTCGGGCGCGCTTTATCTGGTAACAAATGCAAATCGCGGAGTGCGCTCGCCCTCGGAACGCTCATTTCGCATGCAATCGTCGCGTCGGTGGATTTACTCGCGCAACTAGCTGGGCGCGTTTCCCAAGACATGTTCTCGTAGAATACGCGCGTCGGGAATTTCGTTCTCTCGGAGGACGAGAGGAAGAGAGGGAGAGATAGAGAGAAGATTCCTCGCGTTCGCCGCGACGACCGGATAGTCGGGGCGACGAAATGTCCGACGAATTTTTAACGCCCGCGGTATCGGTAGCGTGGGGGCACCTCCGCGCTGCAGGCAGGCCGCGAGTGTGGGACGGGGTGAGTTTATACTTGCATGAGTCTCTCGGGAGACCCAGCCTCTCTTTGCGGGTCCAATATGGTCTGAAGAAGTGACGACGGGCCGTCCGCTCTCGGTACGAAGAAAAGTGATAGGGCGCGCGATCCTTTACGCATCGAGCCGCAAGAAGGAGAAAAAGAAGAAGAAGCAGAAGAGAATCGATAACTCCGATCTGTATTTTCCTTTTAAACTCTCCGCGTCGATGCGAGCGCATCTTATCGGCGAGTGCGATCAGGCGAGAACTCACTCGCTCACCGTGAATTTGGTCTGCGTAGCTAAGATTTATTCACAGATAAGACGAATCTCACGAGCCGATGGTTATGGATGTCTCGAAGAACAAGTTTAATTAAAATAATTGAGCGCAACATAGCTGAATCTCCGTTACAAAGTCGTTTAGCAAATGCCGTTAATCAATGATTATAGTTGCACAAAATTACTAAACGAAATGACGTATTGTAAAAAAAAATAAAACATTCGTTCGAAGCATTTGTTATAAAACTGTCCGATCGGAATTATTTCGTTTTTCCTAGAAAATGCAATAAAAATCTGGGGAATAATTACATAATACGTACTCGGATGAAAAATTTTAGAAATTATAGTTAATTTATACGGCTGGAACTTGAGATTTTTCCACGTTCAGTCAAACGAGCGACTTTAGCAGCGAATTCTTTGAAACTGTTGCACAGCGTCTGCAATGTGTCTAGCAATTTAAACCACCTATAAATGTTGAACAAAAAGTTGTGAAATAGTTGTAACGTTGTACCTCGCAAAGCCGGCCCGAAGAATCGTGCGTTGCAAAAACAGCGGGGGGTTCTACCCCCGCGTTCTAGTGTTGGATAAGAGTGCCATTTGGCGAGGACTCCGCCGCCGTAAAACGCGCGCGGTGGTCGCGCGCGCTCTCGTATCGTGGATTTTACACGCGTATATTTTTCAGCGCTTTTATATCTCGGCAAAAAGGGCAGGTAAGCCTATACGCGCAAGAGCAATTTTTGCAAATAAATTATAACGCTCGTATATATATCACGCCGAAGCGGACGTTCCCTTCAAACCGCCGCTATTTAACGCGATGTCATCTGTAATAAAGATACTTTTACCATAATAAGCCAGAAAAATGTCTAACAAAAATTTATATGTATTCCGCGATTTTTCCTGCATTTTTTTTCCACTCACTGCAGATACAAATATAAAAACAAAATAGTATAGTCTAAAAACAAATCACAGCAAATGCTTAACGAAGAATTAGTTTTTTGCCAAATTATTCATTCTGTTTAACATTATAACTATCGACGATTAATTTCTACTATTTAATTACAATATATGTGTCTTTGAGAAAAAGAATAAAGGAAAAAAGTAAACTCATCGATTTAATCCTTTACATAATGCAACAGAAGTCACAGGAAATCTCAAAAAAAAGTATCATTACAAGTAATTTGAAAAATTAAAAAAATTACTCAAATTTATTCACGATGCATATTAATTGCTTTGGTAGTTCTAATGTTATAAAAATCTAATGTTATAAAAATCTCAAGTTAATTAAGCAAAATGCGTAAGTTATAAGCTACTTCTTTTTTAGCCTTTCATTCATGATGCGAAACATTCTACGATGATCGAGACATTCTACACTTTTAGGGATTAAAAAGACGGTACTAAATATTTGAAGTGCTATAAAAAGACCTGAAGTTTCTCGAAGCGGAAAAATTCACAAAGACCGCAAAGAGGCGTTAGAAACTTGAGGGAAGGCTCGAGCAAATCACGCTTACCAGTGCCTGCATCGTGCTCGGTGTGTCTCCGCCGACCTCCTTGCTGGCTGAAGGACTGTCCGGGCTGTGCACCTTGCTTGCGATCTGGTTTTGACTTATATACGCGGCGCGATCGCCGCGCGAGATGTCTTCGAACCAGGAACATGAGGAACCGTCGAAGGACAAGGCGGATCCGCTCGCGCCGAGACGGGATACGTCGATCCCGGATCGCATCAGTCGATCCTGAGATTCCAGCGAGGCCCGTCTTGTGCCGCCTTTGACATGGTAATATCGTTCGCGCGCGCGTCGTAAAGGTGAGAAAAGTACCGACGTACCGAATCCGTATATGCTCTCTTACTCTTCATGAAAACGAACGATATATGGTACAGAAGTCTCGTTCTCTTTCACGAGATGCCATTGTAGAATAATGTAGAACACAAATTAACGAGCAAACTTGATTTACTATTCAAAAATATCAACAGGTTTAACCTTCGCATTTTTATATCTTTAATTTATTTGCGTTCTTTTCGATTTGTACATTCTTCCGCTTATTCATCTCTAACAAGGAGGCTCTACGGGGGACCTTCGTTTGTACATTCGATTCGAGATTGATTACCGATCTTACCGACGAGGAGGAACGTTCGATCCTTTGCAACGAATTCCCGGTAGATTGTAATTATCATTACAACGTGTGCGGCGCGGCGCGGAGACTTTTACACGCTACTACAATTAAGGACCCATTCGTCAGAATGAGGTGGGAATTGAATAAAGCGAGAGCTGGGCGCGCCGGGTAGACGGAATTAACTGGTTCGACTTACTCGAGGTCGTTCAACGATCCCGAATCGCGTATGGATATATGGAATTTCTTGGGTCGTAACGCGAGCCCGGTGGCTTTCGCGCGACCGGAGGCTACGCCCGACCTCGCCTCGCGGAATCGCTTAATCTGCAGCGCTGTGAAGTACCATAATGAGATTCTTCTTGCGCGAGAGCGCCTTGTTCCGATTACGACTCTTTACTTAGCGCATACTAATTCAAAGAAATGTAAAGACCCAAGGGGGAGGGAATAAGGGTGATTCAGGGCGACGTCTTTCAAACGCCTCGCAACTGCCCAGGGAGGTTCTCCTCTGTCAGAGTAACCTCTTGAAAAGCGGTTTCATTAGTTTAGCGAGAGGATTCACGTTCTCATTATTAGTGTAATGTCATCATTATAATTGCTACGTCGGTCGATCGACCGTCAAGGCCGTCGGGATCCGCCGTCTCGGGAGTAACCGCTATCTCGTTTCTGCCTCGTTTTATAAATACGCGCGCGCGCGTATTTGCTTTTTGAGATGAAGCTTGTACCTTTAGGTTTAATGCGCGCGGTTTAATAAAGCGCATACCGAATCGAGACTCATACATGTCATAAGTTTACGAACAGGATCAAGTAACATGCCTTTTAATTTTCTTGATGGCGCAGTCCCAGGGGAGGAGAGGCCTAGAGCCTGACTTGCTGGCTCCTCTTATTGCTTCTTCCACCGCGCGCGGAGCACCACGCTATATTTAAGAAACCGCGGCGTATTTATACCGGCAACAAGTTCGTATCTGTTAAAGGTTTGCCGAGTGCCTCTTCCCGACACCTGCCCATTATTCTCTATTACAGTTACAATAAATTATATGCAGTAACTATGTCTAAGCGTGTATAATTAATTTACAGCGAAATTAAAGCGCGACGCGCAAACGCTTCGTCAGACACGAGACGCTCAGATCTTTTAGATAATACTCTCGTATTATATACGGTCGAAGATCGGCGAAAATAATCCACGCTTATACTATATTTATAAAAAAGAAATTCGAGTTTTATTACGAAAATACAAATCAAAGGCGCAAATCTGAGATCCTTACTTACGGATAATTTGCCTCTGAAACGTGACCGGGCACGTTTCGCTTCTTCCTCCGCGCGGAACCACGATTTATGCGCGCGATTGGACGCGAGATCGTGCCTGACGATCGCCGGCAGTTGCCGGCGATTTTTCAATCGCGAGGTATAAGCCCGATTGGGACCGCGACGCGCTCTCGTGTTCGGCGGAATTGTTCGCCTGCCGCGGCCTTTTTACTCCCCCTTTCTTTTTCTCCCCGCGCCACAGACCGCAGACACGTCCGCAGGAATCCCTCCTCTCTTAAGGCACAATAAAATCACACGACCCTCGTCCTTGGCGCGGTGTGCCGGCCGATTGCGATGACCCGGACCCGCGCGCGTGCACACGCGGCGTATGATATTCCCCGCGCGCGCCTCGAGCGAGTATTATAATGACATAAAGGGTTGGCGCGCGAGGGATCAACCTGTCCACTGGCCGCGTTGTGTAAACTCGAGTATATTTGCATACATCCTGTTTCTCTAAAAACAACACGAACTCTCAGGTGCAAGCGATCGAAAACTCGCAGATAATGGATTACGCGAATTATAATTAAAGACAATTACATCTCATCTAGTAACGCTATCAATGTTTTTTTATATCTTTAATTCAAGGAATCGATTTTAAATGTTAATTAATTTTTTGCTAGATAATGTCACGTGAAATGATATAAATAATGCTACATGAAATCTTTATATAATCTTAATAATTTTATCGGGAACACATTTTTTCACATAAAAACATGGATTTGCAATGTATAGTGCGAGTATCCCACTTCGACGGCGAGAAAGCGCGGTTATTAAAAATCACAAAAAGATAAAAACTTTTACAGCACGAGAAAGAAGAGCAAGAGCTGTTTGGAGAAATCCAGGAAAATTACGCTTGACATAATTTCAGATTGCAAAAAGAAAAACGCGAGAACCTCTGTAACTTAATTCTGTTTTCTAGTTCATTCTTTCCTAACGCTGAAATCGTTCGTTAATGAGATTCAGATCTCGCAATCGAGTAACTCGATCCCGAGGGAGAAGATTTCTCATTCTTCTGGTCATCGGCCGTATCGCGATGAAAAATCGGAATGTAAGAAAACGTGGGCGGGTATAGTATCCGCGGAATATCGCGTCCGATCTCGGCGCAACGGGCTGGTACTCGGCGGCGAATTTTTCCGTTATGCCTAGCGCGCAAACGCGATATAAATAGGAGAACGTTACGATAAGCAGGAAATACAACTTCCATAATACGATGGCCAGTTACTTGCGTATTATTTTGAATTTCAAACGGCACGTACACGGGAAAGAGAGGAGAGGGGGTGGGGGGGAATTACCCGGACGGCACTCAATTCACGCCCGAGCGCACGTGCAGTGCAGTACGCACGTCGACTGCATACCTAGACAATTTAGAGTCGACTTTTAATATCTGCGCGAGATTCCTCACGATTGCTTTTAAGGGAGCGCGATCGGCGCCGATTCTCAGCCGGGGGAATTCTCAGCCGTGCGCGTTCTCCAACCCGGATGCGCCGCGCGCGGGTTGACTCTCTCGCTCTCTCTCTCTCTCTCGCGAATGTCCCGTGCCGCAGCAGAATTCTCGACGGGGACTCCGCCGCGTGCGCGACGCGCGTTTGTTTGTCAATATCTAAGCATTCCGCTTCCTCATTCCACAGGATCCGTCGTCGACCGTTTCACCGGGGGTAAACCACGGGGACGACGGGGATACGCCTTTCGCCCGCGAGCTCCGCCGAGCGCGGGCGAGAGGTAAACGGCGGGCCGTGACCTTTTCAGGTGGCTCCTCTCGCTTCCGGTCATCGTCCGCGCGAATCTTGCGAGCGCGACGGCGAGAGACAACACGGCCGCGTGTTGCGCCGGTGGGCGCGCGGGATCCTCGGGATACTTATATCTCGTCCACGAGATTCTCATCCTCTGTTTACCGCTACCACAGCGACTGCAGCAGCAGCAGCAGCAGCAGCCGGCGGCGGCGACGGCGGCAACAGCAGCGTCGCACACGTGTGGGAGAGACACCGGGGCGTTGGTGTCCGTAGGAGAGAATAGTCCGCGAAAGCATGCAGGATAATCAGGGAATAAGGCTCCCGCGTGTCGTGTCGACGCGAGCGAGCGCGCCGAAGGCCGGGAAGACGGAGAGGACGACGAGGAAAAAGAAAGCGCGGCTGTGGAGAACGAGGGGTGAAGGAGGGGGGGGGGAGATCTCTCGCGCGTCCGTTCGAGGGCGAAGGGAGGAACGAGAGAGAGAGAGAGAGAGAGAGACAATAATGGTCGGACCGTGACACACACCGCAGTCAGCAGAAATACTCGATTACTCGCGCTCTCGCGCTACTCTCCTCCGCGGTGCTGCAGTGCGCACCGTAGGTCAAGGCACCTCTTATTTCCTTAACCCTTCGCGATTCAGCGTGACTTCAAAGTAACGCACCGACCGACGACCGACGCTCTTCTTTTTCTCTCTCTCTATCTCTCTCTCGCTTTTGTTTTTCTCTCGGCTGCAACAATATGTAGAAATTTATGGTCTCGTGGTTGTAAAATTGTTGCAATGATACTCAACGTAATTATGTATGCCTGGCGAAGTTCGCCGATTCGAAATATCGAGAGAGAAATTATCTGCGCGCATATAATTATCCTTCGATACGACATTCGGTAAGATAAATGTATTTTGTTAAACGAGCAACATTCCTCGCGCGTGAGAAACGGAACTGATTCCAATTTTCCTTCCAATTTGAAGATATCTTTTCTCCCACTTCGCAAACTTCGAGCATGAAAATTAAATGTTTCAATTATTAATCGTCGAATTAGAATTTCTCAAATTGCTCGAAATTAATTATGAATATCTTTAATAAGCAAATAGCGGTAAAATACACATATCAATATTTAATTATTCTATATTATGAGAATTATTGATTATATGAAAAAATTTTGCAGTATTTACATATATTCCTAAAGGTGAAATTTCCTTTTTGACTTAAAAAAAGTGACGTTTCGCTATTTTTTCCAATAAAAGATTTCAAGGAACACTCTGTGGACCTTTCGAACACGCCTGTCGTCGTTGAGTTCCTTTTTTTATCGTCCCTTTATCAGGACTAAAGTTAATCGCTATTTATCATCGCCGTGTACAAAACCACCAGCCGTTTACCGGTATCGGCGACATTTCTCAAGTCCGCGCGAAGGGGATCGTCAAGCCCCGCTTCGCCCCCCTTCTTCCTCTCTTCCCCTCGCCGATCCACCGATTCAGCCAGACGCTCACGCGGTGTTACGTTCCGACGGGACGACCACTTAGAATTCCAACAAGATGCACGCGTCCGCGGACAGTAAAATCACCCCCGCGGAAAAATCCACCGCCTGGTGGAAGCCCCGTGTGCGAAACCACACCCACGCACCTCGGCCGCGCCGCGCCGCGCCGGCGAGATCCGGCCACATACTTGCGGAGGTCGCCTTACGTCGTAAACAACATAAACATAATGCCGTCGAGCCGGTGGACCACACCCGGCGTGCAAACGCATTCGCTCGCTCGCTCGCTCTCTCACGCACATACGCACGCACGCACGCGTGTATGCGATACGTATACACGCGCGGAGACTCGCAATCGCGGTGCAACGCGTATGGCACATCACGGCAAAAGGACTCGACGCGACTATCCGCGCGCGACGTGACATCGCTCTTCGCGGCGGTCGAAAAATGCCGGTGGATAAAGCGGATGTGGATAAATGAACGCTTCCTCACTTGATAAATTGCGTAAGTCGCTAAGTGGTCCTTTATCGTGTATATTTAAATTAAAATGAATGTACAACCAAAAGGCGTGTATACTGGAGGCTCGATGGTGTGACTGATGAACCGGCTCGTCAGGTATAAAGTGCGCCAAACGATAAACGCGATTCCCGTCTTTTCACCCTTTCTTTACTGTAATACTTTTTTTCACCGAGTACAACTCGGTCGCAATACGTTGCAAGTAGTAACGATACATTCTCGAAGAAAAAAAAAGATCTGATAAAATAAATTTATATGTCGTACATACCTCAACAATTAAGACTTTTTTAATTGTTTCAGCATATACAAGATATATATTAATTATTACAAAATTTAACAATTTCGTTTACAAACATTAAAATTTCTTCCCCCCCCCCTCTCCCTCCCTCCC